CTCCTGGCTGGGAACGCAGCAGCCGAGGTGTCAGTACAACAAGGTAAACCGAAGGCCTACCTCTGTCACTTGATGGCATCAGTCTGGCTGTATAAAAATCTGTGTCAGAAACAGTTTTTAGGCCTTAAAATTCAATCCACTAACATGTGTTGCTGATCCAGTCCCTGTGTTTGGAAGAATTGTAGGCTGGATCTGCTGTACCAATGTCGTCAGCGCAACCTCTATGCCCCCCCGCCCCCCGCCCCCCCTTGATTCAGGACATAGCTGCAGTGCAAAGACTTTTTTCTTTTTTTCTGTGAAGAGCTTGAAAGTTTCGTGCTAATCTGATTTAAAAAACAACATTTGGATCGCTGTGAGTGTGCCCCAACCCCGTGGGCAGCCAGAGCTCAGAGATCCAGCAGCCATTTAGAGCAACTTTAGAAACTGAACTTCCTTTTGTCGTCTTACAAGAAGTGTTTGTGATGCTATTTACTCCTTTTTTTTCCGCATGGACCTCCATGGGCTGCAGTCAATCCACGTGCTTAAACAGACAAATCACAGCTCGTTGTAAGATTTCTGCTGCCTCAAAACTTCTCCTACTCAAGTACTTTAAAATGCATGTGTCAATCATGCTGCAATAGAGTCATTCAAAAGAAGAGTATATATTTCAAAATGAAAAAGCCGTTTTTTAATAAATTACTTGAATTGTCAATGTATTTAAGAAATGTATGTTTTTGGTATATTTGAAGTTAACACGCAGTCTTGGCCGGCACCGTTGACGAATTCCTGGTGGCACATGTTGGTTTCTCAGCTGAAGGTTTTCAGTTGGTTCTGATGACCTGTGCTATCAAGGGTGACCATACTGGTTTTAGGCTGGTGAAATCACCGAGCACTAATGTACACGCAATCACACAGGACTTGGGTGGTTTGGTTTGGTTTGGTTATTTTTTTCCAAGTGTCTTGAGAAAGTCCTTTTTTTCTTTAAGGTGAATATTTGTTATTATTTAGGACACGTACTGTGAACTGTGTTCAGACAGGGGAACGATACTACTGAAGAATGTGAGACCTTTTTGAAGAAATCAGTTGTGAGAAATACTTTAACTGAACGACTGCCGTGAATTTTATCATCTCAATTACATTTAATATATTCTGGTGATGTTCATGTATAGCAGAGATGAGTTGTATTTCACCCTAGAACTGGCATTCACGTAAAATACAGTTAGACATTTTAAAGTGGCTTTAATATTTTATTTTTAAAGCTCCTTGAAGATTCTGCTTTTGGTTGAACAAACGCTGTCAAGTACTCCTTATTTTAATCTCTATTTCTGGAAAGGTTCTTCTACAGTTCAAAATTCTCCATCTTCTGGCCGGTGCCAGCTGTAATTACCTTTTTCCCCATGAGCTTCATGGATCAGTGTGGTTTCAAATCACCATGACTCCACATCACACCTTCGTAAGTGAAGATTTCTTTCACAGCACCATCGAGCTGACCAAGTTCTAGCTGCAAAGAGGGAGGAGAAGTTGAAGCTCCCTCTCGCTTCACACCCAGCAGAAGGAATGTGAAACCATTTGGGAGGGTGAGCTCACACACATTTATTTAGCTTTCTCAGTCAAGGGGAAGGGTGAGGAGAGAGGAAGGATGTTTTGAATTCAGAGGGTTTCAATCAAAGGCAGGGAAGGTCCGATTTTGTCCCAGCCAGCATTTGGCGTAGCCTCATTTCTAAGAATTGGACGTCAAAATCCATAAATCCAAATTTGGGGTTGTTTATGGGGCTGTTTAATTACAGTTCATAACACATGAATATGCACGCTGCCTTGTAGCAGGAAGCTCTATTTCACTCCCTTGTAAAGCCGAAGGAAATAATTATTCATTGTAAAGTCGCTGAAGTATTTGTAGTGTTGCCAACAGAATTAACTTGGGGGAACCCCTGCCAAAGTATCTCCTACTGTACCTCGGCCAGCCTGGAAAACCACCGCGCTGGCTTCACTGGGCTGCGGTGAGGGCTCCGGACATCTTTCATTGTCATGATTTTTCTTGAATTTGAGAGAGTTTTCTCTCCAGCCCCCACACTTCTCAGGGTGGAGTGGGCACTGATTTATTTATCTCTCCCTTACCTTATCTTTTGATACAGAAATTATGATTTTTTTAATTTTTTTTGTCACTATTAAAAGATAAAGTAGTAAGATTTTATGTGTTTGTTGGAGAAGTTGTGGAAAGAGAGTTGAAGAGGCTTTATTTTATTCCTGGTGACAATAAGCATCATTTTTTGTTGGTTTTACTCTACAGTCAAATTCATCCCCCACGCTCCTCCATCTCTTTGGACCTTCACTGCAGTAGGCTTAAGGTTTAGTGGTTTCGTCCTGTGTTGCTTTATACTGTAAACAATTTCAACATATTCTGCTGCTGTCCTTCTGGTGACTTCTGACACCTTGGACGTGTGACACCGTTAGATTCTCGTAGGCAGTGAGCTGCACATCTAGAAATATCTCACATCAGAGCAGAAGAGCTCAAACTCGAACGGCTCGGGAAGGCACGGCGTGGATATTGCACCGTTGGGTTATTGCAGGAGTCCAGTCTGATCTGTGCTGTTTGTAGATGGCAATTTCAGACTCCAGAAGCAATAATTTCTTAGGAATTTTTCTCTTCCTGCTGGTTCGATGACTTTCATAGAGATTTATGACCTAAATAGCCTTTTAATAACATGAATCTGGTCGTTTGCTAGCGCTGGCAGTAAGCAGTTATGGAAAGATGTGGGTTGTTCATCACCAGAAGGGAGGAAGCCAGTAAATCCAACAGAGGTTAGTGCTTCTTGAAACACACAGTGTCCTTTTCCCCTTTTGCTTGGAGCCTTTTTCTAGACTATGAAGTATTCCCAGCGTGGTGGGCTGGAAAGGGGGCAGCTGTGAATTTAGCTTCCCGGTTTTCTTGCCAGTGCTGATAGGGACCCCGTGATGAATCAGCCTTGCGGGAGCTTTTCCGCTGAGGCACGGAAGCGAGGGCTGAGCCTTTCTCATTCCTCTCCCATCTGATCTGAATCCCCCCAGCACTTGGAACAAGAGCAGCAACACCAGTTATTATTGCCAGGTACCTCAGTAAAAACTCAATCCCATGGTTAGAAAGCATCCGCCCGCCCTGGGTTTGTGGGGAGCTTGGCCTCCCTCCGACGTCTGTCATTAAAGGCAGGATTTTAATTGCTACCAGTGATGTCTTGTGGGCACACGGGTTGAGGTCACATTTATGAGTAAAGGTGGAGCAAGTCACAGGTGTTTTTTTTTTCCTGGGAGAGCTCCCTCCACATCCAGACAGGAGAAGAGTTCAGGGGGAAATTCCTTCCCAGAGGCGCGTCGCAGGGGTCAGCGTTCGTTTTGGGTGGTCGCTCATCTTTTCATTAATCTCGAGTAGACACGTAGCCAGGTCGGGCAACACTCGGTCAGTCCCTGCGACACGTGGTAGTTCAGTCACCAAGAGCTGGGTTTTTAGGTGTGTGTGTCTATATGTTCCTGTGTGTATATACATTTATATACACACTGCTCGGGCCAAAATATCCTTGGTGGTTGTGTGCTCGTCCTCACTGTACTCAACAATGTTTTCAACTGAGTTCTTCCAGGTTTCCCTCATCCTAGTTCAGCGTGAGATGAGCTCAGCTATAAATATGTATCTTATTTAAATGAATAAGTAAACTCCTGCATGATATTCCAAGCACATGTAGCAGCTTCGGCATCCTGAAGTATCTATCGTGAAAGAGAAGTTGGTTTTATTTGCAGCTGTTTTGTCCTCGTTTCCTTTTAATAGGCCAAATAAATGTAACGAACACCAAATGTTGCACAGAAATGTTCCTAATGACTGTGTAGAGAAAATACCAAATTTTATTTTTCTTTGCAGAAACTTTATGGTTACAGAGAGTCCTCTGGCTGTTATTCTTAAACGACAAAGCTGAACGTTTGTAAAGCGCGTCGAAAATGGTCATTTTTTTTTTTAGAAAAAGTGGAGCTACCCAAAGTTT